TGTGTGTGTGTGTGTGTGTGTTGACGTGTATACGCAATACCGGTTCTACATCAGAATGATCAAAAATGCCCAACTGCAAGCTCCAGTAATCAAGGCTTAATGAGACAGGAAAAAAGTACGACCGAGATTGCGTTATTCAATGAGCATTCGCGCAAAAGTAGCAGGACAAATACGAAAGATAATTGGCCAAACCATTCTATATCTATCCATTCCTGTTAACGTTCTTTTGCTGAATGAGTCTACATGATAGTTTGGTTGACTTGATGTTGGTTAACGTAAGACTGTTACGGGAGTCAGTTACGGCTGTGATGATGTCGATCATTTGACGGACGACAGGTCGGCTCGTCTTGATCCGAACCGAGCGAGGATGTTTGGTGGATTGCGTCAGCCTGAAAGTTGCATCAAGTCCAAAGGGCTGCAGAGCAACACGAATCAGCTCTTCTGCGTGCATCTTCAAACGGAACAAAAGTCCTCCCAACGACGGTATCGCAGGCGATTCATCCAAGTCCACTTGCTGCTCGTGTCTTCTGGTCAAACCAACGTCCGGACGAGGAGCTGACCGGCCGAGGTGGGATACGCCGAAGCGGACACACCCGCAGCGGGCGGCAGAGCAGGTGGGTGGGTGGGGGGTGGCAGAGTGCGTGGAAAGCGAGACCGACGAATCGGCAGCCCGGAAACGGGCATAATTAGTCGTAGCCGAGGCGGGCAGAGGCGAGGTGACAGCCAACAACAGGCGGTGTGGACATCGCATGTGTGTGGACAGTGGGGATTGGCCCACACCTCGGTCGGTGGAAAATCGATTGTCCCTTTGGGAGGTACCAGATTGACCGATAGTGCAAGATGAAACGATGTATGTGAAAACGACTCAGCCGCGAATGATACCGGTTTGCGGCCAAAGACAGCTGAGCCTAATCGAGTGTGTTCGCGTCGGTTCGACAGCTTTACTGGCACTCGAGTGTGTCGCTGTTGGCAGAAGAGAATCCCACAAACCGACAAGTTGACGTTCGCAGTGTGAGCTTGCCGATGGTACACGTTACCACGTGACAAGTTGGTTGGGTGCAACTCGTGAATTGGGATTGACTGCCGTTCCTGTTTCTCTTTTCGGTGCTTGCAATTCCCCAATTCCTCCCAGTCAACTTGCCCTTCGGAGTGAAAAGTCAAGCAGAATAATTCACAAAAGAAGTCTTGGAAACACACTTTCTCCTCATATGTCCCCAACAGAATGGCTGGCCGGATGGCGCAACTCGGTGGCAAATGTTCGGCCGATTCGGCAGCAGATGATAAAAAATATACTCAAATGGTGTCTTTCACTTTGCACGCTGTGCCGCGTTGCTGTCTACAGTTGGCTCAAGCGACTGCTGCAATTAAAAGAAGCCATTTTGCTCTGGACAAACATAGTTCCTGGAGCGGATAAAGCGTCCTCGAAGCCGCCAAGCTCGTACAGACATTGCGGTGATGGTGATGGAAAAAACAAAGAAAAGTTGGGTTTCGGGGAATCTCTTGTTTCATAACTGTTAAGCTTACTTCCGTTTCGAGTGAAAGTGTGCGGTGAAGAGATTCGAAGGTCGCTTCCACCAAAAGACATTCAAGGTATTTCCTATTCGGTTTATTTCTATATACCACTTTCTAGACATTTGCCGGTGAATTTTCCTGACTCGTTAGCTTCAATTTTGTTGTGACGATGTTACCTCGCTCTGATCATGTCGGTCATGTGACGCACGAAAGCTTAGCATCTTTTCACGGGAATCGAAGAAGATTAACTTGGAAACTGCGCCAACAAGAGTGATTCAGTAAAGCCAAT